ATGTACATTGTACCTATTATGAAAAAAAAAATTAACACTCAAGTCGCCGCCACTTTTTCCCGGCTAGTCGGCGCATCGTATTCTATTCAGTGAAATGCGGTTAGATACATGCGACTAGATTAATATTCATCGTTAATCATTTTCGTAAGAGTGCGGTCGTGGCAACATCAAATCGGACAAGTGTTTTTAGGGTATACGAAACACACACGCACACACACACACATACGCGATAATAATATTATATTATAATGTCTTGTTTTGATTATTCGCGACAAGCAATCAATTAAAAATCTGAGATGAGAGTCTGCCGCCGCCGAATGCACTAACGATAAATTATTTGTCTGCTATGTCTACAGTGACCTCGCCACCTCCGTTTGATATTATTATTATTATGATCATCATAATCGTGTCGGCGACAAAGCACTTATAAAACAATAATAATAATACCATGTGGTCTCTTCTCCGGGTCCGTTGATTTTTTTTTTCCGAATCCCCGCGGCGGAAACTCTGTCGGACTCCACTGAGAAACGGTTTGAGCTATTTCGTCGGTTTCCCGTASAACAGACGAATGGCATTTTATTTTTCTCTCTTACATTGTGCGTGTACAATAACAGGAAATCGTTTTGTCGTCGCGTCTTTTTTGCTGCGTTTCCATAATGCAATAATTATTATTATCGTCTCTGCAGCGACGGTGCGACGATACTCTATAACCGGTCTGCAATAATTTGTCGTTTTGAACGTATTGTACGATCTCGATAATCGATTRACCAATAATAATAATTTATACTATTATATCGGACGTGTCTTTGTCTCACGAAGGCATTACATATTATTTTAGAATCATAGACTGATAGACTGCAGCTTATTACTACTGTTTCCCATGTCCATCGCCATGTCTACCATTATGCGTGGCTATCGAGTTACCGCAATCAATCATGTTTATATATTATCAAACTGTTCTATGTGTTTAGGACAGCATTTAACGCAATCGAATTAATTGCAATATTTAATATCAATATTATTTTCCTCGTAAATCTAATTTTAAAAATATTGTGGTTGGGCGCACTCAATATGACGTATTTGGTGAAATTTAATTTCAGAATTTAATTTTACAGTTTATATACATATAAAATAAAAATAAGAAGATTKACTGTTTTTTGAATATTGCATTCTCACTTATTATAATGTCAAATTTTGTAATTGAAAAATTTGTATGTTTATATAACACACATGTGTGCGGCGCTTAACCATTGACGCATAGCTACACAAACATTATCGGTTTATCTCCTTTTCAGTGTTTTTTTTTTAAACGCCATTTTTAGATGTGCTTTATATTTTAGACGTGTATACTGATTCTAGCCGGCGACAACATGACAGTAATGATAATATTTGTACTCTAGTAGTTCAACTTGAATATTTTCTAAATAGAAACCGATTTGTCAGTATATTATTATTATATTAACATGTTTTTTCAGGACGTCATAATAGTTTCTTCCTTGGACACATTTTTTTTTTCCCCCGTCTGAAAACGTTCGGAAACGCATTATTTGTATTGTCCGTCCCAGCAAATAATTTATTATTACGAAATGCCTATACTTATATATACGGCAATAATTATTGTCGAGTATTATATCGAGACACTGCAGTTGCCGACGATCACCTGCAGAAAGCGGCGACTGCGGCGGCTTGGTTAGTGCCGGGTTTTGAGTTAGATAATTTCCCGCAGGACCGGTGCCGAAGGATATGCTAGACCTAAAAGCTCACTGTTGTCCACTTTACAGCGGACTGGACTCGCCGCTAATCCCTTGGCCGGGGCTCAAGTTTGCATGCGTCCGAATACTCGAACTTTACGGCAAAGTCTTCGGGCAAGAAGAGCTTTGCGAACTTATTATTAGGTAATTCGGCTGGAACCCATATACCTATATATATATATATATTATGAACACACATAATTATAATATTATATCATATTTATATGAGCACGCGGCCGACCCGTATACTCGTATACATGTTACTATGTCGTAGGTCATCTGAAAATTTGGTATTCTTCCGTGAGACCACCGCGCCCATTGTGACGGGGTAGCAGCTCGTTTTGAGTTTCTTATTTTTATTTCCGAGATTCGTATACCGAGCCATGACAAGTCATAAACGCTGTCTCTGTATACACGAAACACTATTATGGTAATAATTATGTACCTACCTATTTAAGTTTTAWGATCGGCCGACTATGTTTAGGAAAATAAAAAAATAAGCAACTCAAAACGGTGTGCTTGTCACGAAGGGTGTAGTTTATTTTTCTCGCAAAAAATATACGAATTTCCCATATGGGCCTACGACATGGTTAATTGTATTATAAATATATTATATTGTGCAAATGATGAACGGTTCGGTAAGGAATAACAGCCCGTACGTTAGTGGACCGTTGACGACGCCACGTGGTTTACCGGTGATTGTTCATTTCTAAATTTTTTTTGTCACATTTCAGGAAGACATGCGGTAGCTGCAAATGCACGAAAGACTCGCACGATGTGCTGCACGAGGAGTGGGTCAACGTACGCGACCGGCTTGGTTTCAAGCCCGTTCAAGACCCGGACAAGAGAGTGTCGAAAGAAAGGTCTTACAGCCAAGGGTACTCATGGGTTCCTCCTGGGCTGCCTAGTCACAAGGTATATAAATAATTAAACATAATATTTTACGTTAGTTCTGTTCGCGTTACGATTTCCTGTGCACAYGTGCCGTGTGTAGGATTTTCGTTTTAGTTTTCGTTCATCACCGACGGTCGTTATAATTCCGCATTGTTATGTTACAGGTAGAGAAATACTTCARTAGTTTACCGTCCAACAAAGTTCCTAAACTGGGCACGGCTGGCGAGAAGTACAGAGACAAGCAGGTAGTCGTACAACTGCCGAAACAAGACTTAGCCTTGACTTATTGTAAACATGTGGAACAAAGGCATCATCAGAGCTACGAAGACTTCATAAATGCTAGAAACGAGATAGCGTTAGATATCGGATATGCTAGAGAATGCACTTACCACGTGGTTAGTTGTTTTGTGGTAAAACGTWTTATAAAATAAAAAAACGCCAAATGTATTTTTATATGATAAATGTTTATAAACTTGAAATTAGGGCCTGGATTTAAATGCTCTATAAATAAATAACTATATAAGAAAAATAAAAAATAAAATGCTCTAAAATAACAAAACACCATTTTAAACGCAATGACGCCCTTGAAAATGAACAAAAATGTTTTTACAGGCATGCAACTGTGCAGCCGATAGGAAAACAATAGTCTAACTTTTTGGTATTTTTAACACTTTATCAACACAGCATAACTAACAGCAATGCTGAACACCTAACTAAAGAACGCTAAATAAATAAACGATATAGGTTGATACTGGAAATAGGCCTGATCACAATTTATTCCCACCTGACCAATTAGTTGTTAATTTTTTTWAAGTTTTGTTATAGTACTCCTCATGCAATAATTGATAGATATAGATATAGACGCTATCACTTTCATTTAATATAAAATGATAGACATTTATATGGATCATGGATGAATAATCCTTAAAAYCTATTCAAATAAATATGATAAAAACAATATTTCTTGGTAAATTTTGAATTTCTTAGCTTAAACTTAAAACTCGTAAAATGWATTAAATATTAATAAATMATATGTACGCTAAAAATGAATAAAATTTCATGAAAATGCTAAACAAAAGTTTTACCTTTGAAGAACAATCTGTTACAATGTTACATGATACAAATTTTATGCTTTGAATTTATTTSGTTCCTAGCTGAACACCAGAAAAATAATACACTTTGCATTGAAATCTGAGCCTTATTTATAAATTTATAAGTAACCCTAAGTCTTGAAATAATAAATTGTATATCGACTTTTGAATACATGCAGTGGTATTATTCGGTATTGTTTTTGTTAATTACTGTATTTTCGTTGTATGTTATTATTCATTCAAATAATACCAAATAGAAACCTATGTTAAAACTACTATAAGATAATATTTTAAATGCTGTTTTCATATGGAGCATAAGACAACAATAATAATTATTATGTTAGTCAGCTCACATTGAATCTACCCATATTTAAAAACATAGGTTTCACAAACAATTTTAAACGCATTCTTAGTGCRCAAACTCGAATGAAAAATTACCTTCTAAAAATATTAGATAAGTAAACTGYTAAAAAGGAAACAACAGTCGTTTTAAATATTCAGTCTTATGAATTTATATTCTGTTAGTAATCAATAAAATAAAATAATTTGTTTTATTGATAAATAACTGCCTCTGGGACTGGCTGGAGTCATTGGCTACCTACAATAAATGATGACATGAGATTAAAACTTATTTTTTAGTAAAAAATACAAAGTCGATTTTAATATTTTAGTTATATACATTCTAGATTTATGTAATAAATAATTAATTTATATAAATATATTTTGAAATTTTATTAAAGAGTTCTATTTCTTTGAGGAATTTGAGCACTTGAGTAGTTCTAGAGGTAGACCRATAAATGGYGGGTTAAACTGTATTTGTGATGTTGAGCTTCGTACTTCCTACATTCTGATAATATGTGTTTGACCATCAGAGCGAAGTTGCAAGTTGGGCATATGGGTGGGTCTTCTTTTTTCAACAAAAAACCGTGAGTTAACCTATACCAGGTACTGGTAAAATACCTAATCTGAGCCTGTTTATGGCCACTTCTTTTTTCTACCGAGTGAGTTGCTGTGCCACGGAACTATATGATTTTTAATTTTGTTTAATTTGGCGTTGGATATTTTCCATTCATTTTTCCAGATATCGAAAATTTTATTTTTAACCATCAGTTTGATGTCGATATTGAATTCACTTGGCTTTGGATTGCATCTGCTGATACAATGGCCTCTTTTGCTAGTTTGCCCGCTCTTTTGTTTCCCATGATATCAGTGTGGTTAAGTATCCACATTATTTTTATACTAAAGTTTTCTATTTGTAGTATATTTATTTGGTTTTGTACTATCCTTGCAGTCTCGTTCGGTATAATTAATTGTTTGAGCATTTACAGTTGGAAATTTGGGAATTATTTTTTACTCTAGTTATCAATAGAGTGCCATTTGTTTCACAATACTAGATTAATATTATGTATATATTATGTATACATATACTTATTTATAATGACGTTTCTAACTAGTTATGTAAGTGCCAAACTTATGCGGGTACGAACGTCAAATCAAAAATATCTCTCGAATTGTAACGAATATAATTATCTATGGATTAATAGCATATACTATTATCTATTATCTATAGATACTGCAAGATTTATTCGCATTTCTTTGACACCATTAATATTAATTTTKTGGTAGACTTTTTGTAATAATATGTTACTCATAGTGTGTTCCTAGTAATTTATTTACCTTATATTTTTGAAAGGTAATTTTTATCTTTTCAATCCCCATTTAATAAGTATACTTAAAAAATACAATTTTTAAATTTTAAACCAACTCTGATTGAGAATTTATTTAAGTCATAATTTGTAAACCATTATAACTTAACAATGAATGTGCAATTCAAGTCACTWCCATAGATAATGTTACAAAATTGTTTAGTTTTTAATTTTCAGCTTCTAAAAAAATAATTTTAAATTTTGAATTGCATAGCATTTTAAATTCTTAACTTAAAAATATCTTTGAGACATTCGCATTATAATTCAATAACAAAAACAATAACTTAGTTTCAACATTAAATCTAATATTTATTGTATTATCCCAATAATGGCTTGATCCAAAAATTGTWACTATTTATATTGCATATTATATAAATTGAATCGTAATTTTTAAGAATACCAAATAATTAATAATGTTGACATCACTATTTGTATAGGAATGTCCGAAATGTAAGAAAAATGTCGAGCCAGGTGAAATAGGAGTATTCGCGTCTAAATTTGGCGATACGGTTTTATGGCATCCGACGTGTTTCACCTGTACCGAATGCCAAGAGCTCCTTGTCGATTTAACTTACTGTCTGTACGAAGATCATTTGTATTGCGAACGTCATTACGCACAACAATTCAAACCAAGGTGTTCGGCTTGCGATGAGGTAAGAAATATTATGACTTATAAGCTTATAGCTACATACCACATAGGTAGTCTAAAACAACAAGAAAATTATGTTTATCAACGTTAAGGTACGAAATGATGTTATTACACGAAATATAATCGAGGTGCTATCTATTCACRARTAAAATATATAGACGATAAAATGTATCACATCAGCTAGGTATGATCCTTATTACTTATACGTTTTATAACTTAGTTTTAATTTGGAGTTGTAGCTTCGTTTCTCGGAAAAAATCTGGTTACTGAACAGTACGTTTGTGTACATCATAATATTATAATAACTGACGGTTTTATTATGAGTAATGAAAATAATGAGCTCTGTAATCGGTTATTTAAATGGAAAATAAAATAA